CGCTCTGGTGCTTGTGTTTTTTGTGCTCTCGGTGCTTGTGTTTTTTGTGCTCTCGGTGTCGCCGCGGCTGCTCGGTGGCGCCCCCAGTGCCGGCCGCCGCCGTGGTCATGGCCGCCTCTTCCTCCCAGCGGTGCTTCTTTGACGACCCCATGGCGGCACGTCAGCCCCGAGCCCGGCCGCCACCGAGCCCCGAGCAGGCAAAATGGGAAAACTTCCGGGTCGCCCAGCGGCCGCTGTCGTGTTGCCGGAAAGCAAGAGCGGCTGCTTCCGTAGCTCGCTGCGGAGCCGGTCCCAGAGGCTCATGGGAAAGACGAGTCGGAGCCCGAGCGCGCAGTCGCAGCTGCCTCGAGTAGAGGTCGTGGGGCGGATGGCCCGACTGCGCGCGGGCTCCTTCAGGTGCGCGGACCTGGGATGTGGTCTTGAGATTCTGGGGTCGCACAACTATGGGGACCTAGAGGGCATCCCCAGAGCCGGCGCCTCCCCGGCCTCCCTCCGCTTGCACACCCCCAGCCACGGACGCTCTCCCTCGCACAGACTTTCCTTGGACAGCTCCCGCTGCTCAATGAGACGTCCTGCTAATGGACTCCCTGGGACCGTCCCTACTTCCGGTGCTGGACGACCCAGTGAAACGGAATTTTTGGACTGGAACCCGGAGTCTTTGTCCGCTGGAGTCGAAGAATGAATCCACGGACAGAGAGTAGTATAGCAAAGGTGGAGATTTATTGAAGAACTAGAGGCCCGGTGCATGAATTTGTGCACAGATGGGGGGTCCCTAGGCCTGGCTGGTGATCGGCCAATTGGGGGTCTGGCCAGCCCAGGGTAGAGACTGTGGGAGGTTGGCCGGCCAGCCACTGGAGGTTGGCTGTGGGAGTGCACTGACCACCAGGGGGCAGCTCCTGTGTTGAGTGTCTGCCCCCTGGTGGTCAGTGCACATCATAGCAACTGGTGGACCAGTCATTCGGTCGTTAGGTCGCTTAGGCTTTTATATATATATAGGTAAGTACAGACTCCTACGTGGGGAGAGGGAAAGAGTCCCACAGAATTGACTCCCAATGGGGAGGGGGGGAAGGGTCCCGATGAGTTCTTTTTCCCTATGGCTTATAAAGGCTGCAGATCCTGGTGCCTTGACATCCCCTCTGATTGGCCACTATTCCCTTACCGTGGTCGGCAAACTGTGGCTCTTTGGCCCCTTGAGTGTGGCTCTTCCTAAGCCTTAGGAGTACCCTAATTCAGTTAATAACAATGTACCTACCTATATAGTTAACTGAGTTCCTTTTTCCTACAGCTTGTAAAGGCTGCCTTGAAATCCCCTCTGATTGGTCACTATTCTCTTAAACTGGTTACTATAGTAACTCCTGAGCTCAAAGGTCAAACCTCACATGGGACATATGAGGTTCTCTCACCCTCCCCACCTTCCTTATTGTTTTCTTATTCCCTTTGGGCTTTCTTCTTCTTCTCCTGGATGAAGGGCTTCCTTCTCTTTATTTTGTAAATATAGGCCTTTTGCTGTTCCCAGCTCCCTCATTCTATGGAAATGTACCTGTTGCAGCTTTTCAGCTTCCCTATTCTATGGAAATACACCTTCTGCAGCTCTGCAGCCCTGTGCTCCCTCCATGGCCCCCTTAATTTCCAAAATTTCTAAAATTGCCTAAACCTGTCTTATTTTACCCCTAAAATTCCTGTTTCACCAGCATGCTGTCCTTGAGACCCCAAGTTCCACAGCCCAGCCTCCGCCTTCCCACATTCTCTGGGTTGGATTTTTAACCTGTGAACTGCTAAGGAGCTGCCGAAGAGCTGTGAGTCTGTGAACCCCCTGAAATTGGGTGTAAAATTCGGGACAATTGTTGTTATAGGTTGGCTCAGCGAGATAGACCACCGACTCAGAATTTAAATTTTAAGAGCCTTTATTAAGCTAGCCAGCTGACCACAGCCCGCACCTTCCCCCTCTGGGAAGGTTTGCAGCATTTGGCCCCGACCAAGGGTGCAGCAAGATCTTTTATTGCCAACTACACAGTGTTAGAAAAAAAGAAAAAACCAACTACAAAGCGGTTCATTAGCCGTTCCTGGTACTGGCGGGGTAAAAAGTTTACATAAAATTTACGAGCAGGGTCATACCTGGCTGGGTTCAATCATAACACATTGCTTTTCTAGCGAGATAATTAGCAATTTTTCTCTCCCATGGTCCCTGCCCTTGACACAATCAGTAACTTTTTCCAGGCCGCAGTCCCTCCCCCCAACACATTCAGTAAGTTTCTCATGTTTTATTTCCTCCCCCTAGCACAATTGTGTGTGTGAGCTTTTTTTTTTCCTCGAGGAGAGGGGCTATAACTTGAAGTTACTTAAAAGCCCAGTTCACACAATCCCTCCAGACCCTCACCCCAGTTGCTCCATCTGGTGGCCCCTATGTGGTCCATCTGCTATGGTGTGATGTGCGTGCCCTTTAAAGGTCCGCCCTACTCCCCCAGGGGACTGGGATTTCTCAAAGGTAGAGGCCATCCTGTCCTATTCACTCTTGAATTTCTAGGACCCAGCATACATGCTGGAAACTAGGAGTGGGGATCACAGCTGTTGCTCTGTGAGATGCCCCACTCCTCCGGAGCACACACAAGGCCGTGTGGCTGGGTGCTGGTGGCTGGGACAGTCAGGGGGAGGGGCGGTGGCGTGGGGTGGAGCCGGCAAGCTAAACCTGCTACCTGTCCACCTGCCATCTCCTACTCCCAACTGCAGTCTCTTCCACCACCAGAAATCCCACACTGGCCCGGCCAGTGTGGCTCAGTGGTTGAGCGTCAACCCATGCACCAAGAGGTCGTTGATTTGATTCCTGGGATTCCTGGTCAGGGCACATGCCTGGGTTGTGGGCACGGTCCCCAGTTGGGGGCAGGCGTGCAGAAGGCAGTCTATCGATGTTACTCTCACATCAATGTTTCTGTCCCTCCCTTCTTCCTGTCCCTTCCTCTCTAAAAATCAATAGAAACATTTTTTTTAAGAAAGGAAATCCCACAGTGTATTTTCCATAAAGCCTTTAATTTTTATCTAAGGGACTGGATCCCCAGTCCAGGCTTGGGTCAAGTGCCTCTGAGGCTGGCTGCCAGTGGTTCCTGTCTCGGGGGGGCTCTGAGAAGAGTGCTCCATTCTCTCCCCTATTGGTCGTTGGCTCCTTAAAGACAAAGACAAAGATAGAGGCCACTAGACCCTGTAGCCCCCCAACCCTACACCCAAGGCCACCTTGGGCTGTAGGAAGGGAAAGGCCATTGTCACTGATGATACGGGTTCAAATCTGGCTCCTATGCTGTGTGACCCTGAGGAAGGACTTTCTTTGAGCCTCCGCTCCCTTCTGTGAACTAGGTCTTTAAGCCCTGCTCTGCTCAGGTTGCTGTAAGGCAGCGGTTCTCAACCTGTGGGTCGCGACCCCTTTGGCGGTCGAACGACCCTTTCATAGGGGTCGCCTAAGACCATCCTGCATATCAGATAGTTACATTACGATTCATAACAGTGGCAACATTACAGTTATGAAGTAGCAACGACAATAATTTTATGGTTGGGTCACAGCATGAGGAACTGTATTTAAAGGGCCAGAAGGTTGAGAACCACTGCTCTAAGGGGTAAGGGACTACACGTGGGAAGCCTGGCCGGGCACCAGCCCACAATGGAGGCCTGGTGTGTGCCTTCAGGTGAGCGCAGATTCCCGACCCTTTCACAGGGGTCGCCTAAGACCATCCTGCATATCAGATAGTTACATTACGATTCATAACAGTGGCAACATTACAGTTATGAAGTAGCAACGACAATAATTTTATGGTTGGGTCACAGCATGAGGAACTGTATTTAAAGGGCCAGAAGGTTGAGAACCACTGCTCTAAGGGGTAAGGGACTACACGTGGGAAGCCTGGCCGGGCACCAGCCCACAATGGAGGCCTGGTGTGTGCCTTCAGGTGAGCGCAGATTCCCAGACGGGCTCTGCTGCTTATTCACTCCTGTGTCCCTGGGGAAGACCCGGCCCTCAGGCTTTAGTTTCCTCGTTGAGAAGTGGGGGATAACCCTGGCCTCACCTTCCTCGGGGGCATGGGGGACAGAGCCTGGACGTACCCGCTGACTGCTGGAGTCCCAGGTCATGGAGGGCGGGCAGGGCAGGACTGAAGCTTAGATTCAGGGCGGGTCAATGTGGCTGCCCACAGAGTTCCCGCAACCTCTCCCAGACCTCCAGCACAAGGTGAAGGGGGCTGAGGAGACCCTGCGGGGCCCAGCGTGCTGGTATGCACCCCGTCCTCACATCTGGGCAGGGCCAGTTTCGTGGCCAGCTAGATGGCCTCACCTGGGTCTCCGGGAAGTGCCCTTGGCATCCCCCTTCCTAGCCTCAGCCAGCAGCTGTTCCTCATCCAGCCCCAGTGCCGACAGCACCTGGGAGAAGCGCCGGGTCACCGTGAGCCGGGCATTGGTCTGCGGAGAGAGAGGGAGTCCACTGTGCACCAGGGCCCCGAGAACAAGTGGGCTCTGATTTCTGAGGGGGTCCCAGGGCTTCCAGATGGGCAGCAGCCTGGGGTGCCATCTAAGGGGCCCACCCCCACCTCGCCTCCTTACCCACTCAGCCGGTGGAAAGGCGTGTTCTCGGGGGAGGCCACCTGCTTGCCCGGGCGCTAGCTCTCACCTGCATGGCCTGCTGAAACAGGAAGGGCCGGGCCTGCACCCTGTGCTGGATGCCCTGCAGCTCGGCCTGGTACTCGGCAAAGCGCTGCCGCTCCTGGCGCCTGTGGGGACACGGGCCTGTGGGCAGCTAACCATGGACACAGCCCATCCCCACTTGTGAGCTGCTCGTCTTCACTAAGGACTGTGTGCCCTTCCCTTTACAGAGCCATTCCATTCCCCTCCTCGCCCTGGCTTCCTCCCGAGGTCAGTGGGGTAGGAATTAGTATTTGTCCCATTTTACCCAGGACTTCCCTGAGGCTCAGGAGGGTTGAGGGACTTGTCCAAGGTTGCACAGCTGGGACATGAGACACTGTGTCTCCAGGCTGTGCAGCCAGGGCTCGCTAGTCCTCCCAGTTACTCCCAAGGGAGAGGGGCCAGTGGTGGCTTCTGAGCAACTGGGTGGCTGCTCGCACAACTTGTCCCCTCCCTGAGTCCACAGGCTGCACTTCTCACACTGCCCCCGTGAGGAGGAAGCTGTGGCTGTGGGCGTGGTGCTGGGCTCTGGGCTCTTTTCTCTGCTATAGCAGCGGTGGGACCAGTTTGCCAGCATCTGCTGTGGTTCTTATAAGCAGACAGCTTAGAAAACGGGACGGAGTAACTAACAACGATGTTGCAAATAAAACACATTCCAGAAAAATCAAGGTTCCACTGGAGAAGCACAAATCCGGGTACAAAACCCAGTTTGTGCACTCGTCAGAAATGTGTCTGCTCAACTAGCCAGCCTCCCGGCAGCAGGAGGGGTCCTCTGGCCGCCGCACACACAGGTCCCGGCATCCTTCTGTGGGGCACCTGAGAGAGGCAGGGGATGTTGTGGCAGCACCCAGACAGTACGGAGGGAGAAGACTCCGGCCCATGCTGGGCCCTCCAGCACGTCTGCTGGGCCTGGACCCTTGTCTGTGAGCCAGGGAGAGAATCTTCCATTCAAGAAAAAGAGATGGACTTGAAAACCCATGGCAGGGACAGAAGTTACTGCAAAAAGGAGTCGTTGCCATTCAAGGGGGATTTACAGCCGTTGCAAGGGGCTGGGGGGAGGGACAGGAGCTGGCCTTCAGTCTCCGTCTTGCCCGCGATGCCATGTACATTTTCCTGCTTGGTTCTCTAAGCTATTTCCCCCCTCCCGAGTGAAAAGGAAGCATGTCAGTGGATGTCAGCTGTGTCCATCATCACTGGATGCAAGGAAGGCACATCACCTCCCCACCACAGGGCAACCGTTTCTCCCGTGCAGCTCAGAGGAAAGTTCAGAGGCTGTGAGCTGAGAGACCCCGTGGGAAACACTACTCCCAAGTAGGAAATGAAGGCTGCGTGTTTGAAATACTCCTCTCACTGACATCTGCCCCTTGGGGTTTGAAAACTTACGCTTCCTGCCGTGGTAAAAAAAAAACAACAACAATGAACTTAAGGTCTGGCAAGAAGACATCTCCCAGGATGAAAGGAGACGAGGCATGGAAAGGGCTGCCCTGTGCCATCTGCACCCAGTAGGCACGCAATGGCAATGGCATCTGTGAGCAGTGTCACCTGTCACTAGGTTAGGCTTTGGGGGAAGATGCTGGGTACCGAGCCTCCCAGGTAGTGTAGCAGGGTGGCTAACTGGCTGCCTGGATTGGAATCCCAGCTTCGCAGCTCGCGTGGGAAAATGATGTGAGCTCTCTGAGCCTCAGCTTCCTCATATGTAAAATCATGGGAATGGTGATAATACCTACCTCATGGGCCTATTATGAGTCTAACAGTGATTTTCCTTTAAGTATGCATTTGTGGGTTGGTTTTTCTTATTATATTTTTATTGATTTCAGAGAGGGAGGGAGAGGGAGAGAGAGATAGAAACATCAATGATGAGAGAAAAATCATTGACTGACTGCCTCTTGCATGCCCCCTACTGGGAATGGAGCCCAAAACCCAGGCATGTGACCTGACCAGGAATCAAACTATGACCTCCTGGTTCATAGGTTGATGCTTAACCACTGAGCCATGCTAGCCAGGCTGTGGATTGGTTTTTTAAATGGTCAGAATATAGGAAGAGAATCAACTCACTGGCCCACGAGCAATGGCTGTCTCCGGGAGTGGGGCGGGGGGGCGGGGGGGCATAAGTGCTGTTCACATTCTACATCAGCTATTTTGGTAATATCTGAATTTTTATAGTAAGCATGCCTGGCTTGTGAAATTGGAAAAACAAGATTTGAAAGTGTGATGAAGCACGTGGAATATTTAACCTGAGCATTTGACAGCTTCAGAAATTGTTATTTATTGGATGACCTTGGCCCAGCCCCTCCTCCTGAGCCTCATGGTCTTTATCTATACGGCACACAAAGTGGCCTGCCGGCTGGAGGATGGCAGTGCAGGCTCAGCCAGGAGGAGAGGTGAGGGCTGGGTCTGCTGGGTCCTTCTGTCTGACCCAGCACTGCCTCTGCCCTGTCCCCACCAGGCCCTCCACAGCCCAGTTTCCTACCTCAGCTCCTCCAGCTTGCGTTGGGCAGCCCCCAGCCCTTGACTCCTGGGTGCATAGGTTGCCAGGCAGCGGGCCACCTGCTGCTGTACCTGCTGCTCCCGGGTCTTCCGCTGCTCAGCCTGCTGCTGCTCCTCCTGCTGCCGCCGCTCCCAGGCCTGCAGCATGCTTCTTAGTGGGGGAGAGGGAGGAAGAGGATGGGAGGAGTCTGTGGGGAACAGGAGGCTCATACAGGGTCAGGGGCCAGGAAGGGGAAGATAGGGCTAAGTGAATGCATTTTGACTTGAAGGACAGGCAGGTGGATGAATGGAGAGAAAAAAGAAACAAAATGGTGATGTGATAATGGATGTATGGAGGGATAGATGAATGGTGTGGATGGTTGAATAGACAGCACCTAGATCGACCTGGGACATTCTTCCCCCAGGTCTCACGGCCATCTCATCAGTCAGGTCTTTGCTCAGATATCAGGGGGAAAAAGACTCCCTGACCACCTCACCTACCTCTCAGATATTTTCCAGTTCTAGCTATACACCTTGTTTTTTTATTTTTTAAAGATTTTAAAAATTGATTTTTAGAGAGAGAGGGAGAGAGAGAAACATGAACGGGAAAGCAACATCAACCAGCTGCCTCCTGCATGCCCCCTACTGGGATTCGAGCCTGCAACCTGGGCATGTGCCCTGACATGCCTTCCTCCCTCTCCCCCACTAAGAAGCATGCATAGGACGATGCCCAACCAACTGAGCCACACTGGTCAGGGCCACCTTGTTAATTTCTTTATTAATTATCCTCTTCCCAAGTAGAATGTAACCCTCATGAGTGCAGTTTCTTGTCTATTTTGATATATTCATCAACAAGGTATCCCTGGCAGCTAGAATAGTGCCTAACATGGACAGAAACTCAATAGTAGTGAATCAATACATAATTGAATCATGGACAGATAGACAAAGGGGGAGATGCAGTTACTCAATTAGCACATATTTATTGAGCACCAATATGTGCGGGTCCTGTGTAGGGAACCGGAGAGGCCGTGATCAATAAGATCTGGCACCTGCCCTCAGTCTGTGCGCAGGGACAGACACGGCAGTGTGGTGTGGCAAAAGCTATGATGGTGGCGAGCACAGAGCAGAACTTCCTGAAGTGGCCCTTGACTTGAGAGTTGAAAGATGCCTCTGAGTTAGCTGGGCGGCTGAGGAAGGAGGGGGAGCATGAGCGTTCCGGCCACTCTGACCAGCTGGCGTGGGAGACAGGAGCCTCCTTAGCAAGGAACCTGGGCTTGGTCCCAAGAGCACAGGGAGGCATGGAAGGACCTCGAGCAGGAGGTGACAGGATAAGAACTAAGGGGTACTATCAGAATGCTGAAAGGATTCTCACCTACCGCTTCGAGCTGGTCACTAAGACCCACTGAGCCAGCCTCCAAATGGACCCCCGCTCTCCATTCCCATGGCCACCTGGTTCAGGCCCTTACCATCCCTCACCTAGACGATGCCAACAGCCCTCCATCCCCACCCAGTCTTCCCATCTCCTCCCATTATCTCTTGTTCAGCCCCAAGTACAGCAGTTGTCTAACTCTACTGCCGTTATTGTTGCTTTGCCCATCTGTCTCCTTTTCCAGCAGACCTTGAGCTTCTTAGGTTGGAACCAAGTTTTTTTTATCTTTTTTTAAAATATATTTTATTGATTTTTTACAGAGAGGAGGGGAGAGGGATAGAGAGTTAGAAACATCAATGAGAGAGAAACATCGATCAGCTGCCTCCTGCACACCCCCTCCTGGGGATGTGCCTGCAACCAAGGTACATGCCCTTCAGTCCACAGGCCGACGCTCTATCCGCTGAGCCAAACCAGTTAGGGCAAGTTTTTTTATCTTTATATCCTAAGGACACATGAGTATATACTCAATGTGTGTTGCATTAATCACTCAGTTTATAAATTATTGATGGCCCACCCAGTGTGGCTCAGTGGTTGAGCATTGACCTATGAACCAGGAAGGTCACGGTTTGATTCCTTGTCAGGGCGCAAGCCCAGGTTGCAGGCTCAATCCCCAATGTGGGGCATGCAGGAGGCAGCTGATCAGTGATTCTCTCTCATCATTGATGTTTCTATCTCTCTCTCCCTCTCCCTTCCTCTCTGAAATCAATAAAATTATATATTTTTTTAAAGAGTAAAAATACTTTTAAAATAAAAATAAATTAATTAATTGATTATTGATGGATAGAAGATTGGAAGTGAATGAAAAGTTGGTTGTGTCAATAGACCATTGGCCAAGCCAGTGGTCCTCAATCTTCTGGCCCTTTAAATACAGTTCCTCATGTTGTGACCCAACCATAAAATTTTCGTTGCTACTTCATAACTGTAATGTTGCTACTGTTATGAATCGTAATGTAAATATCTGATATGCAGGATGGTCTTAGGGGACCCCTGTGAAAGGGTTGTTCGACCGCCAAAGGGGTCGTGACCCACAGGTTGAGAACCGCTGGGCCAAGCAGACAGAGATGGATGGATTGATGGATCAATAGATGATTGGATAAATGGAGGAATGAATGAGAGGATGAATGGTTAAGTATCTCTTGGAGAATGGGCTCCTTTTCTACTCCCTGCCCTGGGCCCCCACACTCCTTCTCCCACCTTACCTGGTGGCCTCCTGCCGTTTGTGGACGGTACGGGTGGGGAAGTTGGCAAACGGTGTCTCATCTTCTCCCAAGGCCTGGGCCTTCCCGCTCCTGTTGCAGTTTTGGATAGCAATCCGCCAAGCCTTCCAGGGATGCTTTTTGAGGCCTATCCCAGTGGGAGAAGTTACCTCTCCTGGCCCAATGGGCAATCCCACCTAGCACCTGGGGCACAGGCCAGCCCTGTCGGAACTCCTGGCCCAGGCCACCGGCTCCCCAACCTCTCTCCCCCTGTGCAACTTCCTCGGGAACCCAGGTGTTGAGCCCCACACTCACCACGGTCCAAGTTTTGCTCTATCTGCTTCTTCATCTTCTCCAGGTCCCACATCCCTTCCAGCTCCGTGGCCCTTGCCTTCCTCCTCTGTGGTCCTTGGGGGTCATTGGAACTGGGATGGCTCCCTTGGCCCTGCAGTTCACTCTCCTCGGAGGCCTCTGCACAGGAATTCCACCCCTTTCTCCGAGAACCCGCCCTCCGTCTGCGGGGGGCCTTGTGCCCCTTCTCCTCCTCCTCCTCAGCCTCCTCTGCAAACCATTCTTCCTCCAAAATCAACCTCCTCCTGGGAGACTGGGGCAGTTCCCCAGAGCTCAGACCCCTCTCAGCCTCCTCAGCAGCCTCCTCAGCAGCCTCCTCAGACTCCGATCCTGATCCTGACTTCTTGCAGGGTGTCTGGAGGCCACACTCACTGGGCAGCTCCAGCTCTCGGCCCTCCCCTTGGCCAGAAGGGATGGAGACGTCCCAGGCCTCGAGCTGCTGTCTCCTCTCCAGGTGTTGCACCTTCATCTTCCAGCTTAAGTCATGGGCCTCTAGACAGCTGTCAGTGCACTTACGGCTGAACTTGTGCTGGGGGGCCGCTGGGGCGGAGAGGGAGCCAGGCCGAAGTGGAGCCTGGCCATCTGTGGTGTAGCTCTCCCAGGCCCATTGGAAAGGGAAGGAGGGTTTCCGAGGAGAAGAGAGAACAACACTGAGGAGGGAGAGAGCAGGGGGCAGAGGTCAGGGTCAGGACACTGACCCCCAACGGGGCCTGACACCCAGCATCCCTCCCGGCCCTTCCCACAGCTGCTTACTCCTCAGCCTCAGCAGAGCCATGCCCTTTCTTGTTCCAGCTCCCGGGCCTCCGGTTCTTCTTTGCCGTCTGCCCTCCGCTCTGAGCTCTCTGCCGCTGACTCCGAATCACACTATTACCACTCCCAAGCCTCCCCTGGGCGAAGACAGGAGAGAAGGCCCAGGTCCTAGACCACATCACACCTCCACCAGGGGGCCCCCCACTTCTCTGCACCTTGGCTGGCCCCTAAAACTGACTGACAGCGACCTCAATTCATAATATTAAAATAGCAACAACTCAGGAGAGGCTCGGACTTTAACCTTCCCAAGCATCCTGTGAGGTAGGTACTCACTATTACACCCATCATGCAGATGAGAACACTGAGGGTCCGAGAGGTAAAATCATTTGACTAAGGTCACACAGCCAGTAAATGGAGCCAGGACCTGAACATGTTGAGTCTGTCCCCAGAGCGTAGTTTGTCACCATTGCACTATGCTGCCTCGGGGTCCTGGACCGCTCTTCTGGCTGCCCCATAGGGCCCTGGACTTGCTAAGCCAAGATGGAAGAAACTCATTATCTTTCCCAAAGTCCTGCTCCTCCCACAGTGTTCCCTAAATCACTCCATTGGGAGCCTGGGAGCCTGGGAGCCTGGGAGTCATCTCCTGGCATCCTCCTCGTCTTCACCCCCATCCTTATAAGCCTCCCCATAGCCCCTTCCTCCCTCGAGCCTCCCTGACTCTCACCTAGGCCTCAGCTCAGTCTCATGGCTTCCCAAGGGCCTCCCTCAACCCTGGCCTCCCCTGGCCCCGATAGCCAGGCTGCCCCTGGGCAGTTGGAAGTCCCCCATGGGGCCTCCCTCACCTGCTCAGCCTGGTCGATGCCTGACAGAAGCTCCAGCAGCCCTGTGCCCATCCCTGGAGCCTGGAGCCTGGAGTCCTGCCCTGCTCTCCTGGTCCTGACCAACTGTTGGTGGGTGTTTAGCATATTGGTGTCCTGCCCCACCCCCCACCCCCATCTGCCAGCCTTGGAACTGTCCTCTCCACCATCTCTATGGCAACCAGTCCTCAGCCAGTCTCCAGGAAGGGTCAGCCCAGTATGTGAGGCTAACTCCCTACTAGAGGGAAGAGTTCAGCAGGATGCTGAGGAATAGTCCAAGCCTAGGAGTCCAGAAACCCCGGGCCAAGTCCTGCCTCTGCTCCTGCCTCTACAGGCCTCCTCGGGGACCTGGTGTGAGCCCCCTGCCTTTGCTTGGCCTGTGTTTCCCCATCTATCTGTAAACTGGGCCTCAACACTCAGCCATCTGGAAGGGCCCTCGCACTCTGTGAAGACGGCCAGGGGACACCAGAGGCGGGCCCTCTCCCTCTGCCTGCCTCCGGGGCTGCTCCCCAGCCCTGGCTGAGGCCCTGTGGGAGCCAAACTGAATTCTCACAAGGTTTTGTCCAACCACTTGCCCTCCCAGGCCCTGACAGGGCGGGAAAGGCCAGGAAGCTGAATGCCGAGTCCGGGAGCGAGACAGCAGGCACACAGGAGCCCGGAGCAAGCTCTGCGGGGCGTTAGAGCATTTCAATCCTGCCTCAAGCTTCCAAGCAGCACCGAAAAGCCTTGACATGGTAAATCCCGTAGGACACCTGGCAGTGCGCTGCCACCAGCAGCATGGGAATAGGGTGCCAACCCGAGGCCCTGGCGGCCTGTCATCAGCTCTATGACCGCAGCATCAGTCTCTCCGGTGTTTATTTAATCTCATGCTGTTTTGCACAGTGATGTGCTGTACAGGCTTGCAACCTAGGAGCAGGAAGCGCTACATAGCCTAGGTGTGTAGCGGACTAGGCCACCTGCGTTTGTGTAAGCACCCTAAGATGTTCCGACGATGACAGAAATCACCTAATGAAGTATTTCTTGGAACATATCCCCGTCGTTACGCGACACATGACTGTATATAATTTCTCTACAAAAACGAGATCATACTTGTTCTGCTTAATAGTATGTTCTGCCCAGCCTTCCATGCCATACATGCAGAGCCACCATCATTGAGTGTTATAGTCTGACCAGCATAATGTACTAAACCCATCCCCTACCGTCAAATATGCACACGGCTTCCGCCAGCTTCACTGCTACACACGTGGCCACAGTGACAACCTTGTAAATGAGCTGTTGCACATTGGGCATTTCTGAAACCTAAGTTCCTATAAGCAAATTTGCTGGCTCTAAGCAACATAAACTTTTTAAAAATTCTCACCCAAAGATATGTTTATTGATTTGAGAGAGAGAGAGAGAGAGAGAAGAGAAATATCAATATGTCAGGATCAAACCCACAACCTAGGTATGTGCCCTAACCAGGAATCGAATCTGCAATCCTTTTGGTTTACGGGATGATGCTCCAATCAACTGAGCCACCCGGCCAGGACAGCAATATACCTTTTAAAAATATATTTTTTAATTAATTTCAGAAAGGTAGGAAGAGGGAGAGAGAGATAGAAACATCAATGATGAGAGAGAATCATTGATCAGCTGCCTCCTGCATGCCTACACTGAGATTCGTGCCCGCAACCTGGACATGTGCCCTGAAGGGGAATCGAGCCGTGACTTCCTGGTTCATAGCTCAATCCTCAACCACTGAGCCACACCTGCTGGGCATGACTTATGTTTTTAAAAGATCCCTCTGGTTGCTGTGTAGAGATTAAACTGGAGGGCCAGGGTGAAAAGAGGGACTGTCGTTCAGGAAAGAGTCTGTAGGACTTGGGCCAGGATAGGAAGAGAGAGGGAAAAAGGGGAGAGGTCTGGGCCTGGGCCTGCCACCACTTAGAGGTCAGGAGAGGTCAGGGAGACACAGCCAGGGAGACCAGACGAGGCCAGTGGGGAAGAAGTGAGCCAGGAGAGTGAGGGCTGCCAGTCAAGTGAAGACAGTGTTGCAAAGACAGGGGAGCGGCCAACTGTGATAAGAGCTACTGAGAGGTCAAGGCAAGGTCGACAGTTAACAACTAAATTTGGCAAATGTACTTGTTCCTGGGCCCATATTCCAAGGATCAAACACAGGAGGCTCCTTGCAGACTCTGGTGCCTCTGCCACATCACCCAGCACCTGCTCACAGAGCCCCATCTGAAACTTCCCCTTTGGAGCTAAAAGGAAAAGTTTAGGAAAAAATTAGCTAAAGTCTAGGGGAAATTTCTTTCGCTTGAGGAACATACAGTATAGGCTTTGTGTTTTCTGGAGGTGGGAAGGGGAAGCTAAGTTACTATGTCTCACATTTTTTGCTTTGGCTGCCAAGAAGCTCGGAGCCAAATTTGATATTGAATTAATAGAGCATTTTCATTTTTTTAAAATATATTTTATTGATTTTTTACAGAGAGGAAGGGAAAGGAATAGAGAGTTAGAAACATGGATGAGAGAGAAACATCCATCAGCTGCCTCCTGCACACCCCCTACTGGGGATGTGCCCGCAACCAAGGTACATGCCCTTGACCGGAATCGAACCTGGGACCTTTCAGTCCACAGGCCGGCGCTCTGTCCACTGAGCCAAACCGGTTATGGCCATTTTCATTTTTTTAAATTATATTTTCATATTCTTGAGTTTCCATTTCTATTTTTATTTTATCTTCCTGCTCTCATAGGAAGCAATCTTAACTGCATTGTGAAAAAGGCAGGTATACAAAGTAATTCCACTCATTCAGCAAATATATGAAAATGCCTTGTACTGGTCAGGTCCGTTTAGTTAGCAATTGACAGTTCTAAACTAAGCCAAAAATGATATAAAATAAGTAGCTGCCTTATGTTACTCAATCATAAAAGGTCAGGGATGTCTGCCCTCAAGGAAGTGCAATCTCTGTGAATGAGGCACAAAGCTGGCCCTCCGAATCCAGTGACCAGTCACTCTGGAGGGGGCAGGACAGTGCTCCCAGAATGGAACGGGGTTCCAGGGGCTTAACACAGCTCTTTCCCTGATTTCAAAGCCCACAGGCAGGGCTGTCAGGGTCGCAGGACAGTCCAGTGTGAGATGTCCCCATGGTGAGGACCATGTGGGGTCCCTAGGCTCATGGACCCCCATGGCTGTCTTAAAGGGGGGCTGGCGTCCCCCTTCTTGCTGCTCTCCTTGCTAGGTAGGAGGCAGCCTGTGGGCAGAAGGCGATCTGGGGCTGTGGGTGTTAAGCACTTAACTCAACTTCCAAGGATTAGGAAGTCCACCCCTCTGCGTGAAGAGCAAAGCAGCCAGGCCAATGTGGCTCAGTGGTCAGGTGAAAAAGGGGGTGGGGTTTCGGGAACAAGGGGGAGGGTCCAGGTGACCAGACTCAAGTGGTCAAGTGAACAGGGGCCAGGTGAACAGCGGGAAGTGGTCAAGTGGATAAGGCAGGGGGGCCACCTGAATGCGGAGGAGGGTCAAAAGAAGAAGAAAAGGCCACAGCTTCCTGTGGCCCAGACTGTGGATGGCAGCAAGAAGGTCCCTGTCCTCAAGGAAAGGCGTGCCCTGTGAATGAGGCAGAAATCTGGCCCTCAGGGCTGGGGACCTGTAAGTGACTCTGGTGGGGGCAGGACAGTGCTCCCAGAATGGAACGGGGTTCCAGGGGCTTAACACAGCTCTTTCCCTGATTTCAATGCCCACAGGCAGGGCTGTCAGGGTCGCAGGACAGTCCAGGGTGAGATGCCCCCATGGTGGGGATGCTGTGGGGTCCCTAGGCTTATGGACCCCCATGGCTGTCTTAAAGGGGGGCTGGCGTCCCCCTTCCTGCGGCCCTCCCCATGGGTGTCGCTGACCTCACTTTTGCCTGGATGGAGGAACTTGAGTCCTGTATTCTGTGTGTGTGTGTGTGTGTGTGTGTGTGTGTGTGTGTGTGTGTCTTCCTCTCGTTTTATCGCCATTTCTCTCTGTCTGCTTCTTTCTTTCTGATAGGAACGTTGGCTGCAGGCAGTGCCAGGAAAGGGGCAGCTAGAATTTGTGGGGTAGACTATCTAAAAGGAGGAACCTACCCAGAGAAAGCGCGCAAACGCTGCAGAGGAGCCCCCCTGAACTTTGGGGGGAATATCATCTGTGCAGGCACAGGGTGAAACCCCACAAGCTGGACAAGAAGCCTGCCAAGAGAACCACCACTGCCCCGGCCAGTGTGGCTCGGTTCTTAGGCATTGTCCCGGGCACCTACTGGTTCTCTCTCCCTCTCCCTGAAATAATCAATCTTTTAAAAAATGTGTTATATACATTAATAGAATATCTCTCAGCCTTAGAAATAAAGAAAAGTATGCCTGGCCAGCCTGGCTCAGTGGTTGAGCTGTCAACCTATGAACCAGGAGGTCACAGTTCGATTCCCAGTCAGGGCACATGCCTAGTTATGAGCTTGATCCCCAGTGTGGAGCATGCAGGAGGCATCTGATCAATGATTCTCTCTCATCATTGATGTTTCTATCTCTCTCCCCTCTCTCTTCCTCTCTGAAATCAATAAAAACACATTTTAGCCGAAACTGGTTTGGCTCAGTGGATAGAGCATCGGCCTACGGACTGAAAGGTCCCAGGTTCGATTCCGGTCAAAGGCCTGGTTTGGCTCAGTGGATAGAGCGTTGGCCTGTGGACTGAAGGGTCCCAGGTTCGATTCCGGTCAAGGGCATGTACCTTGGTTGTGGGCACATCCCCAGTAGGAGGTGTGCAGGAGGCAGCTGATGGATGTTTCTCTCTCGTCAATGTTTCTAACTCTATTCCTCTCCCTTCCTCTCTGTAAAATAATCAATAAAATATATTTTAAAATAAAATAAAATAAATAAAAATAAAAACACATTTTAAAAAAGAAAGAGTGATGAGAGGTAGGTTTTGTTGTTTTTGTTTTGTTTTGTTTGCTTTGCCTCTTTGTCTCTGCCTGATTATTTGATTTCATACTCTCCTGTAAGTGGAATGCAACCTCTGGATTCTTCCCATTCCAGCATACAGGATGATGTGGCAGCCAGCTACTCTGGGTCATTCAGAATAGTTCTGTGAGGTGAAGCCTGCTTGCTCTTTGTGACCTGTAGACAGTTCATGGACTATCCTTACCTCATATTTTATCCGTGGAAACTGTGCTTTCTGTTATTTATTAAGTCACAGCCATGCTTTTTCACAAATCATCTTGAAGTGGTTGAAGTGATCTGTGCTAATGCATTCATTCAACAGTTGCCTTCCATGTATGTACCAGACTGTTGAACTATGAGGGAAGTAAGGCTTGCCGCCTGTAGACTGAGACACCCCCTGCTGGCCTGGTCACCCCTAACTGCCCCCCTGTTGGCCTGGTCGCCCCACGCAGCCTACTGTTTAGTCATTTGGTCGCCCCTCACTGCCCCCACTGCCGGCCTGGTTGCCCCACACAGCCTGCTGTTCAGTCATTTTGTTGTCCCTCACTCACCCCCCTGCTGGCCTTGTCAGCCCAGGCAGCCTGCTGTTTGGTCATTCATCCAGTTGTTTCGGTCATGATGGACCCTGGCTATTTATACATTAGGATTCCACTTACCTAAGATACCTGGAATAGTCAAAGACATAGAGACAGGAAGTAAACAATGGTTGCCAGGGGCTGTGGGAGAGAAGAATGGGGGTTAGTGTTTAATGGGGACAGAGGTTCAGTTTAGGGTGATGAAAAGTTGTGGAGATGGACGGTGGTGGTGGTGGTTGCACAACAATGTGAAAGACTTCAGGTCACAGGGCAAGGGGATTCAAACTCAAGGAGACAAGGACGGTCACAAGATTAACTTTGAGCCTAGAAAGGTGGATCTGGCCCCGCAGCAGGCCAGAGGCAGGGTGGCCAGTGAGGAGTTTGTTGGAATAATTCAGGCAACAAATGATGGAACGAGTGTTGACAGAGCAGCATCATTTACTGGAGGCTTCGGAGCAAGGCACCATTCCGAATCGTTTTATGGTTTCTACCAGCCGAGTGGTTCTCAACCCTGGCTGGGAGGCTTTATGTACCATGCCTGGGCCTCCAGCCAGTTAGCTCAGAATCTCTGGAGATGGGCTCGGGTATCAGCCACCTCAAAGTTCCCAGCGATTCCAGTGTGTGGTCAGGGTGAGAACTCCTGCCCCCACCGAAGGTCAAGGACCGGGGGCCCGGGACTAAGTCCATTCACAGCCGAACTGATCCTGTCACAAAATCAGTGGTCAACAGATCCCTGTAAATATCAGGTAACCCTTACAAGGACCCTATTATCATGTCCATTTATAATAAGGAAACTGAGGCACAGAGAGTCCGGTTATCTGTTTAAAGTCCCAGGCTGATAGGTGGAGGGGGCGTGTGTGTGCTAGAATT